CAACAGAAAAACGTCATTTTTCAGATTGCAGGACTTCCTGATCAGCAGTAAGGGGGTTCCATATCAGTGTGACGTCTTTACCCCAGAGGGAGTGAAGCTTGTGTATAAAAACTGTATTATTTCCTAATTCTTGGCCAAAAACTCAGACTTCATTCAGGTCTGTTTTTGGTCCAGCTGTAGGTTCTGTATATTCTGCAATTAAATCTTCAAGTCTAAATCTGAATTAGCCTCTTTGTCCATGCTGGTCCAGTAAAAACATGTTCTCTAACACGTTAATCATCAATATGATGAACCAACAGTGTGGATTCTGCTTCTGATGGAAGCATTTCTAGTATTTAAGAGGACATTTTTTGAAAGAACACGTTAGTCAGCCAATGGCWCACTGAGCTGCCACTCAAACTGCCATGTTTGATGGGACAAACTAAGCTGTATTATTATTAATCTGTGAGGCAAACGGGGACAAGGAGTGTGTCTGAGCCTCCGTGGCGCACCGACGGACTTGGCACGAGGTCGACCGGCGTGCCAGGGGCTGATAAGGCCACTGCTTGGCACGGCGGATCAAACTCGAGCTCGGTGGATGCAGGAGGCACCTCTGCRGTCACGCTGCTGTTGGATTCTGTGAGAATAGGAGTGAGCGCTCGTGAACCACGCGCTGCATGTGACGGATACGGCTCCTCAGACCTGCTGTGATGTTTGATGGAGGAGCTGCGTCTCTTCTGGGCCTTCCCCCCMCCTCATTATCAAAGCTGGCTTACAACCGAGATACAAGATAGGATTTCCCCGAGGGAGAGCAGGAAGGAACAGACAAAGGGTCACGCAGATCCATCGAAGGCCAAACAATCAATCCATCACAGACGCTAATTTGCCTCMGATTAGCCTCTGATGTCAGGGCTTAGCATGAAACACGTCACGCAGCTCTCAGGTGTAAAACATTCAGATGATTTATGCACACTCTCCACACTAAAACCTCGACAAGCTGTTGACAAACTGATGCCGCTTCCGCATGTCAGTCATTTAGAATCCTTAAAGCATCCAGGCAATTTACAAAGCATGTCCCGAGTTTAAAACCCAGACAGTGCCTCAGTCCACATTTACAAACCCATCTCTACATCCATCAAAAACCCTTCTCTGCATACAGAAACCACACCTGTCAGCGAGCGGAGCATTCTCGCCTGAAGGGAGCGTCGTCAAACAACTGACGCATGAGCAGGCTCTCGTACAGCCATCAAAAATCACAGCAGATTGCTTTAAATATGTTTGAAAGGAAAATATCTAAAAACTATAACTGTTTCTTAAAAGAAAAATGTTTCTCTCCTGGACCCAACCATCAATACCCAACAGAAACTAAAGATTAAATGATGTTGATTTTAGAGATCTACATATCAGGTTCATTTATCACGTTTAAGTTATTTAAATGACTTTTGTCAGTTTTATTGTAATAATCTCTTTGTATTAATACATCTTGAAAGACTTTGCTGTGATCTTTAATAAGGAAGTGAAGGTAAAAAAGATATTTTTAAGTCATAAAACCAGGTCAGCCAAATCTACGACGGCGTATTAAGGCCATTTTGCAGATTACAAAAAAGAAAGGAGGAGCAAATCCCACAAAAAATAAAWCAATAATAATAATCAGAAATTTTTAGATTAGTTTTAGAAATTTTCAAGAAAATAAAATGATGTAGAATAATCTAGTCCAGGTTTGAAGTTTCTGCAGATTTTAGATTTTAAACTTTAGCAGATAAAAAATGCTTAAGGTGGTGAAAACATTAGCCTGGCCCTTGCCTTCCTACGCAGCAATTCTCATTTTCCTTCACTGCTCCGTCCGGGATATCTCCCATAGAGAAGGATTTCTTCAGGAGAATTTTTGTTCAGGCCAATCAGAGAACAGAACGTCGATTTTCTGCGCAGTGTCTGCTTGTAGTTTATTTTACCTGGACCAATCAGAGAACAGAACGTCGATTTTCTGCGCAGTGTCTGCTTGTAGTTTATTTTACCTGGACCAATCAGAGAACAGAAGGCGGAGTTTTGAACGACATCGATTTTCTGTGCATTGTCTGCTAGTTAATTTAGCATACGGCAGGAGGAAGTGAACGAAGCCAGTCCGTGTTGATAAGGCTTCCAAATTAAAATAAATTTGACAAAGCAGCAGCTCTCATTTACAGRTGTCTTGTTTGGCTCGGTATATTTCTCCTCTCTGTAGGGTTGTTCAAAGCACACGCAATTTCCGGTTAGCTTCTTAGCTTAGCCTCCTTCACTGTGGAGCTGGCGCGCATACGTCGTTGCCAACTAATCCAATCATTTTAAACTTCAGCAGAGGCCACGTCTCTAGCAAGAATCGCTTCTCTATAGCAGCYAGTCCAGACCRTCGTATGAAGCAAAGTGAAGGACAAGGGTCTGGTTCTTACCAGGCTAMGAAATCATAGGTGGAATRGCCCTTTAGCCACTCGTTAAAACTTTCTAAATTCACGAGTTTTTTTCCTGTAAATTTACGTCAGAATATATTTTGTTTAAACATTTAAAATTCCTGCCTTTAATCATAGAAACTTCTGATTTTTTTCTTGCAAGTTTCGATTTTTCTACATAACAGAATATTTTGGTTTTTTTTCTTGAAAATTTCTGAAATTAATGTCAGAAATTTTTGAGAGTTTTTTGGCAGAGATTCGCTCCTCCCTTTTTTTTTCAAAGTGGCCCTAATGCTCCGTCGTACAAATCCCATAATAACAAACTGTTGTGGATGCAAAGATGGTGTTAGAATAAGTAAAAATCAGTTTTTACAGTTTATATTATAATTTTACCACCTCCTTCCAACTTTACAGAGCTGTGTTAAACCTCTCCCTCTGAGGTCAACAATAACACCACTGATAAAAGATGATGTCAGTTTCTAAAAGCCTTGGTGCTTGTGGAAATTTGTGCCGAGTCAGAGTTTTTCTGCTCTCTGAGGTTCTTCAGAGGCAGAACAGCGGCTGATGAATTCTAATGCGAACACGACTTCCAAACCAGAGGAAGCCGATAATCGTCCTTCAGGGTCGTAATCAGATAATAGTTGTTAATAAAAAGGTTTTACAGCTGAGAGGTTTATTGTTGTGTAAATGCAGAATCAGCATTCACACTGTTTGTTTTCTCCATTAGTTTTGTTTTTAACTATCTATTTTGTGCCACGTTTTGCATCGTCAACACTGAAACCTTTCACGCTGGCACAGAAGCTTCAAATAATTTCATGTAGCTTTTACCTTCTGGAGGAAGAGGACGATTCTCTGGACCATTTCAGCTCGCTGCTCCTCCAGGCTGAACAGGGTACGAGGAGTCCGGATGAAGACTTTGGTTTTGCCGTAGGCCACGTCGTGGTCAAACCTGCAGCCCTGCAGGAGTTTCTTCACAGCCTCTTGGTCTGACGGCAGGTCGTGGTTCGGCCAAGTGAACTCTGAGATCATCTTATATCTGAAGGAGGGAAGAATAAACAGGGGTGTGTGTTACTGCTGCACAGAACTACATTTACAAAATCTAATTCAGCTAAAATTAAGCTTAGGTCTAAGACATTCTTTATACTTTACAGTTTATCGGCCTGGTGACGTTAATGAGATACCTTTGCAGGAAGCGAGGATACGTCTGTCTGTAGGCGAAGCCGGCTCGGCGCACTCTGACGTTCTCCAGCAGGCCCAGGTACTCCACCTGATGGCGGCAGCGCTCGTTCTCAAACAGCAGAGGGGACTTTACTTCGTTGGGCTTGATGCAGCGCACGTAGTATGGTTCCTGTGGATTATATTAGAAGGCAGCTCCGGGTTAACAACAACAGGACACATTCAACAATCATCTGCCAAAAACAAACTCATTCAGATAAAAACCTGCTACAGATAAAAATATTTTAAGCCATTATTATTATTTATTCCATTGTTTTTAAATAAATATCTGTAAATTTTACAGATTTGGATTATGTATTGCAGTATTATACAAAGGGACTTATTTAATGATAAAGCTCTGTTTATATTATATAARACAATAATTGTTCCGCACTTGATTTACTGTGTTGAAGTCTGGGGTAAAGTGTGCAAAACAATCACAAATCCTATTTTTATTTTACAGAAAAGAGCCGTCAGAATTATCACCAGAAAACTTTACTGTCATCCATCAAATATACAGTATTATTTTCTAAATTGAAATTATTAAAG